TGAATGTTTGGATGCATTGTAGGCAGCCATGACCCAGGAAGGATCTCTAACAGTCATCTAAGGAGTGGCCAGTGAAGTTATCACAAGGCTGTAATGTAAACACTGCATTTTCTCTGAAAAGACAGTGTTTACAGCAAAAAGCCTGAAGGTAATAATTCTACTCACCAGAACAAATGCAATAAGCTGTAGCTGTTCTGGTGACTATAGTGTCCCTTTAACTATATTCATTGTCAGCCAGTCCACACAAGTTTACATCCCTCTTAAGTTTCCATACTTAAGTGAGAGTATGTGAAAAGTAGTTAGGGTTGCCACCTTTCTTGGAAAAACATACCGACCTTACTAATTTGCATAATTAAATATGTATGGGTGACATCACATGATGTAAATCACAAGGAGTGACATAAGAGAAAATGCTGTAAAATCACCAAAAAACTACTTAGTTTGATTCTGCTGTATAGATGGATTCCTCCCAGTGCCCCCATGTCTCCCAGTGCCCTCATGACTCAGTGCCCCATGTGTCGATTACTCCAGGTCTGTGTTCCTATGTATCAGTGTCTCAGTGACCCATGTCTCCCAGTGTCCCTAAGTGTCGTGTCCCCAGTGATCTTATGTATCAGTGTCTCAATGCCCCATGTCTCCCTGTGTCCCCATGTATCCCAGGGTCCCCATGTCACTAGGACACTAGGAAGACGGGGAGACCTGGGGACACGGGGAGACCTAGGGACACGGAGACACCAGTGACACTGTGACACTAGGGGACTCTGGCTGGGACACATGGGGACAATGGGAAAATAGGGGACACTTGAAGACATGGGGACACAGACACCAGGGACAAAGATACTTGAGACACTGGCTGGGGGACATGGGGACATTGAGACATGGGGGCACTGGGAGACATGGGGACACTGAGACACCAGGGCCACAGACACTAGGGACACTAGCTTGGGGACATTGTGACACTTGAGGCACTGAGAGACATGGAGGCACTAGGAGACATGGGGACAGTGAGACACTGGCAGACTGGGGGCACTGGGAGACTAGGGGTCACTGGAAGACTAGGGGTCACTGGGAGACTAGAGGCACTGAGACACCAGGGACAATGGCTGGGAGACATGTGTCTGTGTCATAATGTCTCCCAATGTCCCTTAGTGTCTCAGTGTATGTCTCCTTGCAGCCTTTCCCCCATCCCTTACTTCCCTGAGCTGTAGGCTGTCTCTGCAGGGTGGGAGTTGCTGTCTGGACTCTCTGTAGCTGCTCCCCTGTGGCTCAGTGAGTATAGATAGGCAGGGAGGGATATGCTGGAACTTCCTATCCCTGCCTGTCTCCACATACAGCGACCCCTACTGGCCAGTGCTGGTATTGCATAGTAATTTCCATTTATACTGAGAAGAATACCAGCATTTGTATTGCCAGTATCACTGCAATATTGGCACCAGCCAGGCAGCCTCAAATACTGGCTGAGCCAATAAAATAAAAGCCAGGTGGAATCCCTAAGAGTAGTGTGTGGAAAAAAAAAATGTAAAAATTTTTTTAAATCAATAAGGCTATTCCTTGAGGCACAAGCGCAGAGCTGCAGCTCCATCAGCTATATTGAAATGTCCAGCCTGCATCCCTACACACTCCTCCCTTGAGCGAACTCCTTGGGTAGGTGGAGACATGAGTGGGCACTTATGGGCGCCTCACCGTCGACCCCTGAGGCCCAGACAGCGAGCTGTGTAAATTGGCGGCTTCTCCCAGAACATTGAATTTTGTGACCACAGTTACAAACAGCCTCCAGAGATCTGTTCTACACACCAGACCAGTGGGCCAAAACTGCAGCCCATCATCATCCTCATCTGCTTGTAAGTAGAGGCAATCTAGAGTATATATTATTAGTGACACTAATCTATAATTTACCTCACATTAAAGGGACACTATAGCTTAATGAAGTGGTTCTGGTGTCTACAGCTGGTCCCTGCAGGCTTTTTAATGTAAACACACACTGTGTGCAGCACTGGCGTTAGTTCATATGGCAGATCATATGGGTGGGGCATTGTGATGTGACATGTGGGGGCAGCAAATTTTTATTTTGTCTAGAGTGCAAAAATTCTTGCACCGGCTCTGATCCTGGGCAGGTGCACCAGTCTACTTGACTGGTTTTGCCCCCCAGGCCTAAGGCTGCCAGCCCTCCCCTGGCCGCTGGGGAGGTCTTTTGGCGGCCGCTGGCGGACTTGTCCTGGCGGCCGCTGAGGGAGCTGCGCGAGCTGCGCTGGCTCTGCTCCCCAGCACGCAGCTAAATGAGACCGTCGCCGGAATATGACATCATATTCCAGCGCCAGTCTCATTCAGCAGCGCGCGAGGGCGGGAGGGCACTAACACAGGAAGCACCTATAGTGACCGTCTGAGTGACTGTCACTAGCAGTGTCACTTTGAAGCAATGTAAACACTGCCTTTTGTCTGAAAAGTCAGTGTTTACGTTGAAAAGCCTGTAGGGACATGCTATAGACACCAGTACCACCACATTAAGCTGTGTGTGTGCGTCTGCTAGTGAGTGAGCTTGCTTGCATGCGTGTGCCTGCTAGTGAGTGAGCTTGTGTTTTTATTTCAATGAGCTGATGTATATCAGTAAGATTGTTTGTCTATGAGACTGTGTATCAATGAGCTTGTGTGTGTCACTGAAATTGCCTGTGTCTGCATGTGCGTATGCTTACTGTATAATTAAACGTTTTACCCTGAAAGGACCAATATTTTATATTAGAAAAAGCAATATATATATATTACTCAATCATCTGTCCTGGCAAGACATAGCCTTACATATTACACGTGACAATATATGGCGCAGTGACTTATGGGGCTGGCACAAATTTTTTTTCCAGGGCTGCTTTGTTTCCCCAGTCCGGCCCTGAATATGAGTAAAGTGCATGTGATGTATACAGAGATGAGGGAAGTAGAGAGGGAGCAATGAAGATGGTGTCAGCAGAAACAGGTAAGTAAAAGGATAGAGAGATTTTAATAATGAGGGAAGTGAGAATAGGTGATGTTTTTAAGATATGGAGAATTGAGCTGTAAAGATTGTAGGTGGAGGTTAGGAGGGTTAAAAATGTATTCATTGTGTGAATTAAGCTATATTAGGTGGAGGGCTTGGTGGACAGGATTGGTTTGTCAGGAAATCCAGGCAATTTGAGCCGTCTATAAATGTTTTGAGTACCCGGGGGATTATTATTCAGAAATGCTACCTATGCTTAGAGGAAATTCTGTAGTGTTAGGTGCTGTGAGTTCTGGGTGTAGCTGTTTCAATGGTGTGTGGGACCCAGGCTCTGCTTTGAGGAAATTCTGCAGGGTTAGGTGCTGTGAGTTCTGGGTGTAGCTGTTTCAAGGGTTAGAAGAAGAGGATTTGCAAAGGGAGCAGGCAAGTGAACTGCAATTTTTGCAAGCTGTTTTTAGATAACTTTAATGGAAAAAAAAACAAACACAACTACTGAACAGTGGTTTTTATTTATTTTTTATTTGGGGAGTGGAGTGTCCTTTTAATACAGAATCTATTGAAACTTGAAATGGTTATATTGAAATATTGTTGAAGGGACAGATTTTTTTTAATGCATTAAGAAATCTAGAAAAAACATGGGCTATGTATAATATTATTAGGACCATGGGCAAACTATTGCTTGTTCAATTCTTCCGCTGTTCCATCACATTTCTCTGCTTCACCCTGTTACAGCATCTTCCATATTGCTGCTGAATGGACTCTCCACTCCTTCATCTAAGGACACCTTGCACCCATACCTACACAGTTGCCACAGTACCAACAGTATCCCAAACTTCAATCACCCTTCATGTACGCTTTCACACTGCTTGCATCATTTTCCACCATCTCAATATTCCTTATAGGGATACTTGAAAATTTTACATTCGCCCAACATTGACTCGTGGCCAAGTGATTACCAACCTGAAAAAGATAGGCCAAAATAGAGTTGTGGGGAAAAAAAAAAAAAACCTGAGTTTCGGGTTGCCTTATTTTGGCATTTTAATTCTCTGCCATTTAGGAATTGTCAATTTGTTTATGAAGCCCATGTCATTTCTTCCTGCATGTTACATAGACAGCCTCCCTATACACTTCCTGTAAAGAGATATCTAATGTTTAAACTTCCTTTACTGCACATTTAGTTTAATTACAAATTTTTTATCTCTTGCTTTGTTAATAGCCTTCTAGACCCTGCAGGAGCCTCCTGTGTGTTATTAAAGTGAAACCTACAGAGTAGGAGTTAAAAACTTCTAAAGTTCAAGGGACACTGTAGTCACAAAAACAACTTTTTCTTAATGAAGCAGTTTTGGTGTATAGATCATGCCCCTGCAGTCTCACTGCTCAATTATCCGCCATTTAGGAGTTAAATCACTTTGTTTATGCAGCCATAGGGATACCTCCCTGCAAGTGAATTACACAGCATTTCTAAACACTTCCTGTAAAGAGTCATTTTATGTTTACACTTCCTTTTTTGCTAATTCTGTTTAGTTTTGAATGCCTTTTTTTTTTTTTTTTTTAACACAGATGAGGAGACAAAAACCTTTTAAAATAAGTTACATGTGATTGAAAATGCAACCATTTTGTTTTCATGCAGGCTGTGAGTCACAGCCAGGGAATGTGTGGCTAGGGCTGCACAAACAGAAACAAGTGATTTAACTCCTAAATGGCAGCGAATTAAGCAGTGAAAGTTCAGAGGCATGATCTATACACAAACTGCTTAATTAAGCTAAAATTGTTTTTGTTAATACAGTATAGTGTCCTTTTAATTAAGATCCTAGACATGAGAAATGTAACAATCAGTACTAACGTGTTAGTCTCTTGAGTTTCTGCTTTATGTGTAAAAAGTATAAGCAAAATTAAGATTCCCCCCCCCTACTTAATGTTGTGTTAGGTATACATATAGGATATTAAAAGATAACCTTTTCGGTCCCTTTAATATAGATGGTTGTTCTTAAAGAGAATTATCATGGAACAAACACTTAGCTTATATTGTAGAACAGTTATTCACTACAGTGAGAAGTTAAAGTGAATTTCAAACTCTTCGAGGCCTATATAGACGAAATGGAACCATAGCTGATTTGGAGAATTTTTCCGGTTCAACTATTTTCACCTTAAATTTGAAATTTGCTTTAAATTTTCACCTTAGTGAAACTTTAACTGGTTCCGAACTTGGACAAATACCTTCGTCCTCAAGGGGTTAATAAGAAGAGACACAAGGAAATGGTTTAGAATTTATTTGAACATTTGGTTTACATTAACATTTGAAATCCCTACTTTTTGCCTGCAACAAAACAATTGCAACTTTAAAAACTCATTACTTTTTGATTTGAATGTCAGTTGTAGATGCATTTAAACTGTGGTATCACTTTATAAAATGTTTAAATAGGCAAACTAAGCAACGTAACCATTACTGTTCACACCGTATACTATTGTCCAGTGAGTTTCTGGGTGCTGTCCCTAGCCTAACAGCCATTCAAGGTTGGATGGATGACAGTAATTTAACTTTCACATTATCTAAGCAGCTTTAGAGAGGTCGGGTTTTGATTGTAGGGGAGATTACTACTTTTAGCAAAGCTTTAAAATAATTTAACAGAAAACAAAGCCACAGCACCCAATGCTCTACTGAATCACGGCCACAACGGGTGGTTATGGTGCATTGTGTCAATTTTAGAAACACTACAAACATCTAAAGCTTTCGAAGATGACTTATAAATATGCTGCAACACACACATGTGTGGTTCAAAAGGCTTCTCAGTGGTTATTCCCCAGCACAGCAGAGGAAGCTTATGGCATGGAAGAAGAGGAGGACTTGCAGATACTAGATCTGCAGCTATTGCAAGCAAATTTTTCCACATACCCCTAAAGAAAACATGCAAAATTATTACAGGTTTAATTTGGGGTATATCTGCTAAATTGTCTTTTTTAAATGGAGTGTTCCCTTAAAATGACACCCGTCGCCTTAAAACTATTTTTTTAATATAAGAATCCCATCATTGAGTTTTGAAAGGAAATAGTATTTATTTTGCAAATTAAGTGTATGTGAAAAAATAATCCCTACCTTTTAGTATATGATAGGGTCATCCAGCCATAGATGTGCACAGTGAATCAGACAGTGTGAAAAACCTCTATATAGTCTCTATGGTCTTCACCGCTTCATTCCCTGTGCAGTGAGACCAACTATCGTCAAACAGACTAACTATAACATTCAAACACTGTCTGACCCAAGGTGCAAATATATGACCGAATGATTATATAATTTTATTTGGGATTTTGTTTTTCATGTACTTAATTTAAAAACCAGATCGATTTTCTTTCCAAATTTGATGAAAGAATTATATTAAATAGTTTTGAGGTGACAATATTACTCTGGCTTACTCTTCAAATGAAGATTGTAAAAAATATTCTATACTTTCTTTCAGAAAAAATAGTAGTCAAGTTTGAATTTCTGTATGGTGTAATACAGTAACAGAAGCAAATGTTTTCAGATATGTACAACTTTACAAATATATAAAATCTATTTCTCCCACGGGCATCCCAGTTACATTTCACTGTACAACGGTCTTACAATTTTTAAGAATTTAAATATAATAAACAATAATATGAACCATCCCACTCCACTAATGGAAAACAAATTTCATTCACTTATTGTTTTTTATGATTTTGTTTTAATGCTTGAAATGAGGATTAAATGTGCTCATTTTAATCTAAACTAATTGAAGATCTTGTGTTTTATCTTGGAATAATATATATATATATATATATATATATATATATATATATATATATATATATATATATATATATATATATATATATATATATATATATATATTATTCCAAGATAAAACACAAGATCTTCAATTAGTTTAGATTAAAATGATGGTGGGATGGTTCATATATATATATATATTAAACTGCTTCCAAAACGCTTATTTATGAGAAAACTGTCTGTGATAAAAAATAATCCTGTATCTTTTTATTTAGAAGCAAAACGCTGGAATTTTAATTTTTGCCAGTCAAATGAGTATACACTGTATGAATTTATACATACATTGTGTATTGCTGCTCACAGTAGATGTAGCTTATTATTTCTAGGTTTAAATCCGTTAAAATTGTTAGAACTGTGAACAGATATTTGGCACAGTGTGTACAAATTAAACAGAACGTGTCACCCAAACAGTGTTAAGAAAAGGTTTACAGAACATTAAAGCAAAATACACGCAGAAATATTCTCACATATATAACTGAAAGAAGGGTGTTTCTTCAGCCTATGGAAATACTGATAATTTGAAGACTACACGGGGTTATTCACTATAGTGAGAATTTAAAGTGAATTTCATATCTAAGGTACAAATAGCAGATCTGGAAACATACTCTGTCAGCTATGCTTTCAGTATGGAAATGTTGAACTTCCGTTTGAAATCACTCTGAATTCTCACTTTAGTAAATAACCCAGTATAGCTTACATATGAGGTAACATGGTCAAAATGAACAGTCTTTTTTGTATCGACTACTTAAAATTCTCCTTGTGGGAAAGAGCGTGTTTTGTAATGAAGTTGTGATAGACTAGTTATATACTATACACCATTTAACATCATACATGCATTGTGGTCTAGTAATCCAAGGAGTCTCCCTTCTGCTCTCACAAACACTACATGAGACAAAGGACAACATGTACTAGCGCCTGCACCTTCTGTTGGTAACAGTGCACCAACAGATAGAACCGATAGGAAAGTTCTATACTGCCTTGAATGAAACTCACTTACTACACCACCAGACCACAAAGTGTGTATATCTACTTTTGTGCTATAACAATTCCATTACAGATGTACAATTAATGCATGTCGTCAACGGAATGTTTCAGAGTCTGTAATTCTATCATTGGCCAAGTTATATTTTAATTGATTTTGTAAAAAATAAACAAATCTATTTCCAAAACAAACTAAAGTGCCTCAACAGTGTACCCCAAGGTTGGGTGCGTGAGTGCCCCCTTAATCTACAGAGCATGCTCTCTTTCAAGGGATAAGCACATGTCATGGAAGGAAAATGGGGTAAATTTGTATCCATCTCCAGAATAGAACTTTTTTTGAAATTCCACCCTGTTAAAAGAAAAAAAGAAAAGTAAATTATTTTTGGAACAACCATAGAAAAGATAAAACAGATTCAAATATACTTATGAACAGGAGTAAACAAAAAGCTTTTGTAAATATATATGAAATTTGAAGCAGAGCCACTTACCAATGCAATCGGAGGGCATGCAAGAATGCAGAGATGCCTTCCATGACAAGAAGGATAAATATTGTCAATGTGGCAAATACTGCCACAGCTGGCATCAGTAGGAAGACGCCAACATCGGGAGCCACCTTCAGTCCCATTCTCATTACCATTGACCACAGGACTTCCGAGAGCTCTAAAAATCAGGAAATGAAATCCCATGAGGATGCTAGCCCACTGGTCCAAAGTGTTCAATACTATCAACATATTGGCTGATGAAATGGTCTCATTTAAACCATCAGCTATACTACGACACTGTTCTAAGTTTATCTACCTGAACATCCACCTGCTTACCCCGCCAAGATATTCTTGCCTAGAAATATTCACTTACGTGCATGAGCCAAACTTAATGCCCAGAGACGAAGGTAGGAAGCAGTATTGGATACGCATCCCAGACAATATTCAATGGTGTGGATGCACTGGTGCATAAATATTTCAGCAAAATCAAACTGCAAAAAATAATCCAGAGTTAAAAACTTATTTTGAAACAGTGAAAAACTAAAGGCATAACTGAATCTCAATAAAAGACAGCATTAATCTGCTAAAAATATGATTTTATATAAAATTAGAGGCAGTATATTAATTTTGGGGAAGTTGGTGGAACAAAATCGGGACACTTCATTGCCCAATTTTTTTTTTATTTTTTTTTTTTTAAGGTCCATGCACTTAAAACCTGGATAAAGAGAAAAGATGGCAAATTAATAAAACCAGAATTTAGATTTTTTAAAAATTTTTTTACTAATACATTTGAAAGTATGTAACATGAGCTCCACCTATATAACCAGCATCTTCACCTAAAAGCCAGCATGAAGAGAACAGTCTTATGTCAGTTTGCAGGTGCAGATCAGGACCACCGACATGCAAACTTAATATTCTTGGTTCTATGAGTGGTTTTAAAGTTTCTTGAGTAAACTATATTTTTTTTATCTATTTATTTTTATCACTGAGTACTGTGGATCTGTTTTATTTTTCTATTTAGATCCAACAAACTATTGAACACAAGCCTTTGATCTCCAGTTGTATAGACGCAGACAGATGTACATGGTCTATGCTTACAGTATATATTGGTGATTTCTATGTAGTCTCTATTTTTAGCTTTAAGAGCTCTAGCTAATTGTGCAATTGGGTCTCTTAATCATTACATTAGTATCTACTGTAAGAAATTGCCAAGATATATGGGGCTACTATTTGGACTAATGCCAAAAAAAAAAGTGTATATATAACACTAACACTAACACACACACACACACACACACACACTCTCTCACTCTCTCTCTCTCTCTTTATCTACTATTAGCACTGTTTTTTCTTTAACGGATGGCTTCCTTGCTGTTGAGAGCAACTTTCAGGTAATATTTCCCATTGTCACCCACTTCTTGGAACAAGAATATTTTTTTCAGTTTTCTTTTTGTTTTGCTTTATATTATTTATGTTCAATTTTAGTAGTGTTCTCTATAAATTGCTTAAGGAGATGCTCTTGATTTTGAAATATTGATTTATAAATGGTATAAAGAAAAATATGCATATGTATTGGAGAATGAAGACCATGCCAAGTATATGGTCAAAAACAAGCCATTATTTTAATAAAAGGGGCTTACAGAAGCACGACATTATTAAAGGAAAATACGAAGTGGAAAAGAAAACGGGACAAAATAAAAGGAAAAGAAGCAAGATTTTAAGTTATACACACTGTCTGTGTGAACTGAACTGGATTAACCTTTATAGAATGGCAGTATTATGCCATAAAGAACCCCAGCTTAGATAATAAAAAAAAATAAAAAAATATATATATCTGCAGCTCCTGGGCTCCAGGCAAATGCACATGGCCAAAGTATAGGCAGCACAAGTCTTGTCTCCAAACCTCACCGTCTCTTTGCTTTGTTCATGTTGACTTTCACTATTTGTATGATCCTCTCCTTCTTCCAAATCATGAGACCTAAGCAAAGATAGCTCCTCCTCACTTCCATGACGCACCAATTGGTAGCCTTTCTGCAGAAAAGATCATGTATAAGATGATTCCAGCAAGACAGACGGAAGCTCAAGCATTTCCACT